GTAGGGATCGGCTTAAGTAATAGAGGTAAACAGATAAAAGCGTAGCTAGCGGGAGTAAGCGGGAACCTAAATGTAACGAGGCGTAAAGCCACGTGGTAGGTAGGTGGTTTTTTTTTTTTTTGGAATGTTTTGAAAATTGGGAGCAACTAGTGTGACCGAACGGTGGCAGCACGGCGGGCGCGTTAGTGTTCAAGGGAGAAGTTGGGGCATTGGTAGCGGGCTTTGTGTGACGGGCGACTTAGGCCTAGGGGTTGGCCGAACAATGGCCCCGAGAAAGAGATCGAGCACTGGAGAAGAGGGCCAGGTGCAGTGCCAAGAGTGCCTGCGCTGGTGCTTCTTGGACGAGACAAAGTTCGAGAGTGTGGCGGACGCTAAGAAGGCGCCCTTCGAATGTAGGCCTTGCGAGCGGACAAGGCAGGGCTTCGACCGCCTTGAGAAGCAGATGAATGCGAGGGTGAAGGAACTGGAGGGGTACCTGAGGGAGGAAAGAGAAGCGCGGGAGGCTCTCGAGGCGCAAGTGGCCAAGCTTGACAAGGCGGGTCAAGCGAAGACCGCCCAGTTGGTGCGCACGGTGGCCGAACTGGACGAAGCTCGGGAAAAGCAGGCCCAGCTTGAAAGGCGGGTGGAAGAGCTCGTGACTCCGGCGGCAGGAGACGACGCGAGTGCGCGGGCTCAGAACAACGAGCGGCACGCCGGCGGGAACGCAGACCCACAGGGGGTGACTGATGCTGCGCGCACGAGCAGTGTCCGTCAACGTAGAGCGGACTCGGGTAACAAAGAAAGCCCCGAGGCGGCGCCGGGAAGTGGGGGATCGCCAGCCAGGTCTTTGGCTACCGTGGTCAACCACAGTAGTCCCCGAACACCTGCAAAAGTGCCGGCTAAAGACCAGAGGAGGCGCCAAGTGATTGTTGTCGGCGACTCCAACATGGCCAGGGTGGGAGAGGTGATTAAGGGGAGGGTGGGAGACGACGAACGCGTGAAGGTGAGCAAGCTTCCCGGAAAAAGAGTAGGGGAAGTGTTGCAACAGGCAAAGGAGCAACTGTGGGATAGAATGGAGGACCGCAGTTTAATAGTGGTAATGGGGGGTGTGAACGATGTGTTGCAGGGACGCGGGGGTGGGTTCGCAAAGCAGATTGCGAAGGGGATCACTGAGCTGAGGGCGACCTCGGAGGATGTGCAGATTGCTGTCTGCACGGTGCCGGAGGTGCAGAAACAGGGAGTCCACGTAGAAAGGGCGGTAGTTACGGCAAACAGGGAGCTTTGGACTCTGAGTAAAACGATGAAGTTCGAAGTGGTCAACCTGAACCGAAACCTGGTCCGTGCAGGCCGCAACAGGGCGTTTGTGTCTGACGGCATACACTTCAGTAACCGTCTAGCTGAGCATGTAGGGCACCGATTGGCAGCCCGCGCGGTGGCTTTTTTGGGGGGAGGCCAAACGTTCAAGAAGAAGGCGGACTGAGTGGAGGGGGTGGTGAAAGGCAGGAAGGAGGGGGCAATGATGCACGGCGGCGGAAACACAAAGGAAAGAAAAGGAAAATTAACCGGGGGATTAAAATTAGTTATATAAACATGCAAGGCGGCCGCAAGCAGGAAAAATGGATGGAGATACAAGCCCAACTCGAGAAAGAAGAAATTGACGTGTACGCTCTGACAGAAACCCACCTGAGAGATATGGAGGAGCCACCAGTGATGGATGATTACGTATGGGTGGGGTGCAACAGGGCAGCGGGAGAAAGGAAGGGTGGAGGCGTGGGCATGTTGATTAGGCGAGGAGGGAATTGGCAGAGGGAAAATCAGGGCTGTAAGGAGCACTTATGGGTTAGTGGAACGGTGGGGGGGAAAAAGACACGGTTGGGAGTGGCCTATCTGTGGTCAGGGAATGACGCCAGAGAACAAAATAAAGAATGGGTGGACTGCCTCAGGAAGGACATAAAAAAATTTAAAGAATCTGGCGAGGTGATATTAGTAGGAGATTTAAATGCCCACATTGAGGATCTGGATGGATATACTGACTATAACGGTGCAATGGTTATCGATATGTGTGAAGAACAGCAACTGGTAATAGTTAACCGGGAACATAAATGCGACGGGCAGATAACGTGGCAAAGTGGCAGTAGACAGTCCTGTATAGACTACGGCCTGGTCTCAGAACACACGTACGAGCGGTTGAACCAAATGACGATAGATGAAGAAGGAGAAAACAGTCTGGGCAGCGACCACAGGCGTATAATCCTGAAATTTGACAGTGGGGGGGGCTAGGAAGAAAACACAGGAGGTTGGGCTCCCGAAAGTAAGCGAAAAGCAGATAGCAGACATCGTCAATAGCATCGAAAGAGAATTAGAAGCACAGCCAACAAAGGTGTGGGAATATGACGAGGTTGTTAGTTGTATACAAAAGGAAATAAACAAAGTAAGGAAAAAAAACCGCTGGAGGGGTAAACGGAAACCACGAAGCTGGTGGGACAAGGAAATTAAACTGGCTATTGAAGAGCGACGACGGGCCTCTAGACTGCACAGAAAAGCAAAGCAAATGGGATATCAGGATGATGAGGTGCAGTTACGGTGGAGCCGGTACCGGGAAAAGAAATTTTAGGTGCAGAAACTAGTACAAGCGAAAATTAAAGCTGCGAGTGAGAAATGGGTATCAGACATACGTAAGAAGGATAAGAGCGCCCCCAGAAAACTCTGGAACCATTTAAAAGCATTGGGAACGACGACTAAAGAGATGCAGACTCAGATGCAGGACGGGGACGGCAACGTTCTCCGGGGGGACAGCGCATTAGAATACCTACATGGAGTCATCGGAAAGACTTTCGGCCAAGCACGCGAGAGGTCGGCTAACTGGACCCAGGTGGAAAATAAAAGAGTGGCAGATGAAAAATTTAACATCGAATTTTTGGACTGGAAAAAGGCAGAACACAGTGTTCCCAAAAGTACGGCAACAGGACCGGATGGAATCCCGATAGAGATTATCAACCATTTGGGACCAGCGGGACAGGCGCACTTGTATGGAGCCATCGAGCGCGCTATAAAATCCAAGAGGATTCCTACGCACTGGCGCGAAAGTAGAATGAGTTTGATCTACAAAGGCAAGGGAGAAAGGGACAAGGCGAGCTCTTACAGGCCGATTACAGTCACGTCAGTGCTCTATAGATTAGCTATACAAGCCATCAAAGCCGAGTTGTTGAAGTGGGTTGAAAGTAACGGTATTTTAGGGGAACTGCAAATGGATTTAGGCCGGGTCGACGCTTGGAAGACAATCTTTTCGTCATAACCCAGACCATCGAAATTTCGGCAGCACAGGGCAGACCAACATGGCTACTGTTTCTGGACATAAAGGGTGCCTATGACAACGTGGACAGGGGATTGCTGTGGCATATACTGGAAGAGGAGGGGATTGGGTCGGAATTTGTAGGGCTGCTAAGGGAAATATATGAGGGTAACAAGGCACACATTACATGGGAAGGGCGTACATACACAGAGCCCGTGTACATTCGAAGAGGTTTAAAACAGGGGTGCCCTCTTTCGCCATTGCTGTTCACACTGTACATTAGAGGAATGGAAAGACGACTAGAGGAGAGTGGATTGGGCTTTGATTTGTCACACCGAAGCAATGGAGTGTTAGTGGAGCAACGGATTCCGGGATTGATGTACGCAGACGATATAGTGCTGCTGGCGGATAATGCGGAAGAACTTCAAAAACTGGCTGACATTTGTGGTGATGAGGCAACGTACCTAGGCCTACATTTTAACCCACAGAAATCTGGAGTCATGGTGTTCAACGAGGAAGCTCATGTAGCACCAATAAGGATACAACAGGAAGCCATACCATTAGTAAATAAGTACAAATACTTGGGGATCTGGCTTAATGAAGGAAAAGACTACCTGAATGCTCATGAAGAACACCTCAGACTGAAAGGGAGACGGAATGCAGCAGTAATGAAACATAGAGCACTTTGGGGACACAATAAGTACGAGGTAGTACGAGGCATCTGGAAAGGGGTAATGGTGCCGGCGCTCACGTTCTCTAATGCCGTATTATGCTTAAAGTCAGATATCCTGTCGGGGCTGGAGGTTAACCAAAAGGCAGTCGGCAGGTTAGCTCTGGGAGCTCACAGTAAGACTACAAACGAGGCTGTACAAGGCGATATGGGTTGGGCTTCATTTGAGGCGAGGGAAGCACAAAGTAAAATACGGTTTGAGGAGCGACTTAGACATTTAGATGAGAAGAACTGGGCAGCCAGAGTGCACAGATACCTGTACCTGAAAAGTGTGGACACCAAATGGCGGAAGAGGACGCGAAAGCTGGCGACTAAATATAACTTGACCGCGGCAAATAAGCAAAGGGGGCCAGTTAAAAAGCAAGTGAGGGAAACAGAGACGCTCATGTGGAAAGAGAGGATGGAAAAGAAGGGATCGCTGGGAATCTACAAGGCAAGCAAACAAGAGATCCGGAAAGAGAACTTTTATGACAACAATAAAGGTAGTGCGTTGCTCTTTGAGGCGCGGGCTGGCTGCTTGAGAACTCTAACTTACAGGAGCAAATATTCGTCACAGGATGAGACATGTGTTGGATGTGGCATAAATAAAGAAACAATCGCCCACATAGTCATGGAATGTCAAAAGATTCAGCCGGATAGAAATGGGGGGAAGGTCACACTTCCTGAGGCGCTGGGCTTCGCGGTTGATGGAAGCATTAACTGGTCAGCAGTAGGTATTACTAAGCAGCGGCTGGAGTATTGGTGGAGGAAAAGCAGAGAAGTCGATAAAATAACATCCCAGCCAAGAGTAGCGGCTGGGCTAAATTAAAAAGACATCCGAGTTGAGGGACAGAATTTAAACTCGAACTATTAAGGTAGGCTAGATGGCGCATGCCGTCACCCCGATTCAAAGGGGAGGCCTTTAATCATCATCATCATCATCATCGTTTTAAATTGAAGGAGAGAAAGGGTGTGGCAGCTGTTTTTCTTCTCATGCGGCAGGCATCTTTCTAGAGGAGGCGTTGGGTGAGTATTGGAACCGAGGAGGTCTTGATTGGAACACACAGGTGTTCTGTGGCCACACTGTGGGCTGGCCCTGTAGTGGTGATGCGTTGAGGTGTTTTGCGTTGGTACTACGTAGTGCTATCAAAAGAGACGCACGATGTCGAAGAGCGTCAAGAAGCTCAAGTCGATGAAGAAAGTGGTGGAGAAGGTGATGCACACGACGCCCCTCAAGCTGTACGTGCCTGCGTGCATGGCCATGCCTGGTCCGCCGCTTGGTCCACAGCTCGGCCAGCGGGGCATTAACATCGCGCATTTCTGCAAGGAATTCAACGAGAAGACCAAAGAAATCAAAGAAGGGGTGCCCATTCCTTGCAAGGTGTGTTTTAATAAAGCTAGGCACTACGAAAAGCGAGCTCGAGGCAAGTTGTCTTTGGTCCATTTACGAAAGCATGGAAGCTGTGTGTAGTCGTACCCGGCGTACGGGTAGTTTTTTTTTTTTTTTTTAGTCAGAATCGGAATTAGATTAAAAAGCTTGCAGCTCGAGTCGGGGTATCGGTCCTGTTTAGCGCACTGAACAGAGTGAGTGAATTGTGCGAAAAGTGAACGTGCAAGTAGCTGCTGAAAACTGGTCCCCAAAAGTATGCGCTATTGTTTTTTGAATGCCGATCGGGAGTAGATGCTAATATCTTGTGGAAAATAGTACATCGGGCAAATGGGCTCTTGCGTTAACAATTGTTTATGCAATTGTTATGCAACAATTGTATAAATGTATCATGCACGACGAAGAATGGGACGGGCAGTAATCTTGCCCTGCATTGTGCGAATTGCGGGTGCGCACCACACTTAAACCAAGGAAGAGCTGCGAGGCCGACGTGATTCACACGACTCATCTGTTAGCATGGCTTCCCTAGACTTGCTCAGAAAAGAGCTTTGTAACCACTGTATGTTACCATCGTGCATGTAAGAGAGTTGTTATTTCGTTTTTTTTTTCACTTCCGAGATTACATATTCCGAGCAAGTCATGATATTTAATGATAATGAAGGTAGAAAGCTTAGGATACAGGAGGTCACGCTAGAGATAACAGATAAATACAAACATCTGGGCGTATGGATAAGCAATGGGGCCGAGCACCTAAGGGAACACAAAATATACGTAACGACTAAAGGTAACAGGAATGCAGCAGTGATGAAAAATAGGGCACTGTGGAATTACAATAGGTATAATGTTGTGAGAGGAATATGGAAAGGGGTCATGGTTCCTGGTCTCACGTTCGGCAATGTAATCATGTGCATTAGATCAGAAGTTGAAGCAAGATTAGAAATTAAGCAACGTGGAATAAGTAGGCTTACTTTCGGAGCTCGTCGGAATACACCAAATCAGGGAGTACAAGGTGATATGGGATGGACATCATTTGAGGGCAGGGAAGCTAACAGCAAGATAAAATTTGAGAAGCTATTGAGAGAAATGGGGGAGGAGCGTTGGGCTAGGAAGGTTTTCAGCTACTTCTACATGAAGAATGTCGATACAAAATAGAGGGAGCGAACCAGGAAATTGACTGGTGAATACTTAGAAAAGAGCAGGTGGCCAAACCAAAAAGAACTATCTGTTAAGAAGAAGGTGAAGGAAACGAAGACCGAAATGTGGAGAATTGGCATGATTAAGAAGTCCGAACTCGATACTTATCGAACTTTAAGCAGGAGATTGCCAAGGAAAGGATATATGACAATACTCGGGATAGTTCTCGACTGTTTGAGGCCAGGACGGGAGTACTGCGAACCAAGACATATCGGGCCAAATACGAAGGGTTAGACATGGTATGCAGTGCGTGTGAAGAGGAGGAGGAGGAAACTACTGAACACTTCATAATGTTCTGCAAAGGGCTTCACTCTCTAGTTCAGGATGATGACTGAGAGTTTTTCAAAGCACTGGGGTTTAGGGACAGGGAGTACAAAACAGACTTTAAGCAGGTAGAGTTAAGTAGAAGGAGGTTATCTGATTGGTGGCTAAAGTCAAGGCACGAGTGAAAATCAAATCCTTCACTGCAAAGTACCAGTCACGCCAACATCTCCTTATATATCATATCAATAAAAAAAAAAAAAGTACCAGTCCTCAAATTCACTATTTAAAGGGAAAAAATGAAATGAACCTAGTTGTTGGTTCACTAAGTATTACGACTAGGTGGCGTTAGCCACCGCCCGATCTGAGGGGTACAGCCACATCAATCCGTCCATCCATTCTTATTCAGCTGCAGCGAAATGAAAATTGCAGTTGTCAGTCAGTGATTGCTGGTCCCTTCTTTCTTTGTTTCATTGTAGCGCTGTTTATATGAAGATCACAAAAACCACAGTTTGTTACTATGTAGATCCATTGGCAGCTTGTGGCAAGGCATCAAGGGATATTGCCTTCATAGTGCACACATTTTCGCCAAGGTGTTGCACATGAAGAGAGACTGGAAAGCAGTATGGCAAGTGGTCTCTGTCTGTCTCCATTGTAAGAAATGCAATGAACATAAGAGAGTTTCATAAAACGTTACATTATGTAATGATTTTTCATCATGTTATACCATGGCATAATCTGCGACTGTTTTTGGGTTCTTTATTCGGTGAGTGCCCCGCTTTGCTCAAAAAGGCCTTACAGCAGGGGGGTTATAGACTGGAATAATACAATTCTTCGTTTATACAGCACACTTGCTTGTCTTGCAGCCGGTTCCAATCTCTAATGGTCATCACAAAAAAGGAATTATAAAACATGGTCGTTCTTGCTCGATACTCTTTCACTTTGCGTCGGTGGCCATGTCGACTAGATATGTAACTGGGTTCACTGAAATAGTTATGACGGTCAATCCCAGTCCGCCCATAAAAAACAGAAAAGAAAAACTTCAAACGCAGTTTTTTCCTGCGTAAAGAAAGCAATTCCCAACCCAATTCAGCTTTCATAGCACTGCAGCTGTCTCTCCGCTCGTACCGCCCTATAACAAACCGCGCAGCTCTGTTTTGTATTTTTTCAAGCTTATCAATCAAGTTCGCCTGCATCGGGTCCCACACAGGACATGCATATTCCAAAATCGGTCTAATACATGTGAGATAGGCTGTATTTTTTAATGTTTGGGGTGCCAATCTTAGGTTCCTCTGAATGAACTTTAGAGCCCTTGCCGCTTTGCCAGCAACGTGATCAACATTGGCATTCCATGAGCAGTCATGCGACAAAACAACGCCAAGATATTTGCATGTTGGTTCGGTAATAACAGTATGCGTATCTATGGTGTACGCTGTTACTGTTGGTTTCTTTTTTTTGGAAACACGCATATGAACGCACTTTTTGGGGTTTAGCGTCATTTGCCACTTCTGGCACCACTGTACAATACAATCCAAATCGTTCTGCAAATAAGCACAGTCACCTTCGTTCTGAACCTGTCGATATAACACACAATCATCGGCAAATAAACGCATGCGCGACGAAATACCCACAAAAATATCATTTACAAAAATAAGAAATAAGAGAGGCCCAAGGACAGAGCCTTGGGGCACGCCTGATGTAACGTTAACATAGGATGAACACTTCCCATTTAAAAGAACGCATTGACGCCTGTTCAGCAAGTAATTGGTTATCCAGATGAACACATTTGGGTCGAAATTTAGAGTCTGTAATTTAGCCAGGAGAAGGGAGTGTGACACGGTGTCAAAGGCCTTTCGAAAATCTAAAAACACACAATCTGTTTGTCCACCTTCATCAACATTGGAAGCCAGCTCGTGAAAGAACTCTACAAGTTGCGTCATACAAGAAAAACCTTTACGAAAACCGTGCTGCTCATTTATTAATACATTATTAGCAGTAAGATGGGTCAATATGTGCTTGGATAAAATGTGCTCGAAAATTTTGCATGCCACTGACGTCAATGAAATGGGTCGGTAATTTGTTACATCTTTTTTTGAGCCACCCTTATGAACCGGAACAACATGAGAAATTTTCCAATCTTCGGGTAGAGTTCCCGTTGAAAGGGATTTTGAATAAATTATATAAAGGTAAAGGGAAATTGGTTGTTCACTTTCAACTCGAACATTCGAAGCATCACAGTGCTTGTTCGCGCTTTGCTTCCATGGTCTCTGGACAGCAATGTGCGGGAGGTAAGTGGTGGCTATAGAGCTGATGCACGTGATAGAAGCCAGAAAAGCACTTTCTCTCCATCACTGAAGCCAAAATTACAGGATCTTTCGTTCTCCAATAAAATTGCTACTGTTTTTCTGTGATATAAGCACAAATTCCTCAAGCTATAGCCAAGTATTTCCAGGCTATTCAATATTCCTAAGAATTCTGTTCTTCCGTTGGCTCGTATTCTACCACACTGCATTATTTGCTTTCATTAAATTTTGGAAGCATTGGCCAAAAGAAGCCAGTACCATTGCAGTGTGTTTGAGCTTCCTAATGTAGTTCTCAGTAATTTCACCCAGTTTTACTCTGTGCTGTACAAGATAAACTAGTTTTTCACTTTTGTTGAAGTGGGCACAGCTCAATTAAACATGCTGTAAGTATTAAAGAGCAAAACTACTTTTTTTTGTACTTGCTCTTTCACGCTACCAAAAACACCACGCTTGTGACAAGACGACGCTTGGTAAGCAAAAAAGAAAAAAATGTGGGTCACACCCTCCTAGAATTAAAATGGCAAATTTGAATGAATTCTGTGGATACAGTGGTGCCAAATGATGATATGCACACTTTGTATCAGTGATGTCACACGTGGAGATTTCGGCGCTATAGAAATGAAACTGAATTTTGTTTTCCCCTCACCCAACAGTTTGTGGTTTTGATTGAAAGCTAGAAGTGCAGGGTCTATTATGCAGTTATCATAACTGTGCAATAGAATAAGAAAACTGTGTTTCAGTGTAAAACAGTCACTGGCTACAAAAATCCCACCAGTGACGGGCGGCAAAGAGTGGTGCTTCTATCAAAGTTTCAGCCGCTGCTGATCGGCCTAGCTGAAGAAAGTCCGAGTGCCTTGATTTCACGCCCCGCTCAACTTCACCGGAATGTACAGCTAGTTACGCCACAACTATCAGGCTGCTTGTGTTGGTTAAAATATGCAATTATGAATTGAGAGCACTAGCAAATGCGCTGAAATTTCGCTACTTATTTGTAAATACTCAAGGATTAACCCACGTAACACAGATTAAGATAGAAAATTATATGTCATGGCCCCTTAAACCTATGATGGTGAAATTTATGACATTAGAGTTGTCAGTGTAGAATTCATCAGTCTAAACCAAATTATGTTGTATTTAGTGTCCCTTTAATTGGTGAAGCCTACTGTGGTATGTGGCTATTCAAAGCCTGCTAAGGACAATTGCCTTGACAATAGGGCTGCTGTGCTGGAAGTTGCCACATTTAATTTCAGATGCCTCTAGAGTTAACCGTAGTAACCTGCTGATTGTGAAAAGCAAATTTAGTGTCGCACAGAATAACGCCTAAAGCTTTGCATGGAGTTAGAAGCATTTTCTCCTTCACTATTTCTGCACTGCATATTTCTTCGTGATAGAACTTCTGAATGTTGGTCACTTTCAAAGCATCAATTTTTGATTTTTTTTGGCATCTTCACTTCTACAAGCATTCTTTTCAAAAAAATGCACTGAGTCAAAGCCACACTGCATTGTGCGAGTCAGCATTGTTCCAGCTTCTGCCCCTATAACTGTATTCTCCCTTTGTGCAGATCACGGTGAAGCCAGACCGCAGTTTTGACCTGGAGATGTTGAATCCTCCGATCACATACTTCGTGAAACAGGCCGCAGGCATAGATCGTGGAGCCATGTCCCCGGGGAAGGAGACTGCTGGCTTAATCACGCTGAAGCACGTCTACGAGATAGCAAAGATCAAGAGCCAGGACAGCATCTACGACTGTGTGCCCCTGCAAGACATCTGCAAGGAGGTAATGTTGCTCGCCTACAGGTGCGGAGTCAAGGTTGTCAAGAGCCTTTCAGCTGAGGAATACCGGGAGTTTCGTGAAGCTCGCGAACCTGTTGTCAAGGAGCAGCTTGCAGCTTTGGAAGAGAAGCGGCAGGCAAAGCTTTTGAGGACTGCATCTTGAGTTTGTGTTGCCTGAAGGGCTTCGTAGTTTACAAACTGTGGTGTGTTTAGCTGTGAAGTGATTGCAGCAAATAAAAGAACAAAATAAAGGACTGATGCTGCTCTGTGTTGAATTGGAAGCCACTAAAGAACATGAGAGCACAGTGGTTCTGATGGTGCCCGTGTTCTTGCCTTTGTCTCTCTCTTACTACTGCAAAGTAACAAGGATGGATAGGTGGGCTAGTTGCTGGTTCATGTGTGTTCAGCGAACTGGGAACACACACAACAGACAGAGAGAAGCCTCACAGTGTGAGCGCTCGTGTTGTGTAACTCTTGTCTGTCCGTTGTGTATTGCTGCCCTCCTAGTTCACTGAACTCGTAGGCAGTGCCAATATAAATGATCTCTGCTGGGATCGGGTATGCGTTCAGCTGGCCAAAGTATGCAAATCTTGCTGTGACCATACAGCCTGCCACCTTCCCTACGAAATGTCTTGTGGGCATTTCGCACCCTAAAAAGAGCCTCGCATATTTTGCTAAAGAAGCAGCCAGCCTTTCTTGGTTTCACTCGCAGGCAGAACGTACGATGTTCAGGGCATTGCTGTCTTTGCTGCCATCGATCTTTCTAATGAACCCATTGACAGCCAAGGGTAGTAGGAGTGGTTACTATTGACATAAAATGCGACTTTGCTCTGTAGATGTAAATCGAGCAAGGTTTCCGCCTCATTCAATATTCATCCCAAGTGTCATGCACCAACCACAGTGCGATAGATACATGGGGCACAGCAGGACTTGTGCCTCTATGCTGGCGCCATTACCAAACTAGATTAACTCTTGATGCAAGAAGAAATTGAAAATGATGTGAATGTGCTTTTTATAACTCCTGTTTTCTTTTTCCTTGTCTATTTCTCAATATTTATTGCTTTTTTCCTTCCTTTTTATTTCTTTTCTTAGTTTTTCTTTTTGTCTTTCTGTCTGTTTTCTTCTATTTTTCTATTAATTTTTGAATGTTGGTATTATTGTCTCTCTTTTATTATTTTTCTTTGTCTTTCCATTTTCTACTCATTTTCTTGGCCATCCGAGCTATTCTGCCCGTGCACCACTCATCGGCAGATGTGTTGTGGGAGCAAAGCAGTAAGAAAGTGCTTGGCAGCCGAGTTCGCGATGATGGTATTTTTGTACATGAGTGATGGAGTTTCTCCGAGCTTAAACAGCTTCACCATTAAAAGCAAAATGAGAATAGGGAAAAGCAACTTTCTATTTCCGCCAGATGGATGATCTAGGTGCGCCGTCTGCGTGAAGTTGAGACACCGACAGCCGGCATTGTTTAAAATTCTAGAATCCTTTTTCTCAGACAAGGTGTACACCTGTTGGATGTCGAAGTGCGTCGGGATGCTAGTTCGTGGCTCTCGGAAGCAAGTGTCCCTGTGGGGTCGCGCTGGCAGCACTGCATATGCCCAAGACTGAGGTCTGGTGTGTCGCTCATGAAATCGGTCAAAACTTGTTGCACCCACTTGATGCATGTTTGGTGAAGGAAAGCAATTTCAGACTGTCAATTCGGATGCAAATTTATACATTCCCTGCTGCGGTTGGCCAAACAATTTAATGCACAAGTATAAATGTCTCATTTCTCTATTACTGTTGTGCTGTGTGGACGCACTAGTAGTGACACATAGATGCAAAAATGGATGAGGAAGTGTCACATAAGAAATGAAGCTGAAGTGAAGAAAACGTACTGATTGTATCGACTACCATGGTTGCACAAGCAAGCGCACATGAATTTTGCTCCATGTCAAGGAATAGTGCTTTACCAAAAGCATCAATGCCCCCTTTTCCAAGTCACTCTCGTGACCTGCATCAAAGCCATCCTCGTTGATGTAAAGAGATGTTCTACAGACAGTGTGCAAGGCAATAGCACCGATTTGCTTGCATGTCACTCGAATTAATGCAGTAAACCGTCACAGTAAATTTTTTTACTTTTTGTCAGTGGAATAAACGGCATGCTTTCTCATATTCCGCCCTCTTCTGCTTTGATAATCTTTCTTGTGAACCAATTCCTATCTAGGCTAACTCTTCTGTTAGGATAACACAAAGGGCTACATTTCTCAGACAATCGTGCTTATGCATCCGATCCTCGAGGTGACGGCTGGCTTGTTCAACACAGGTGTGACCACCATGACACTGGTAAGAAATAAACTCAATTCTATCAGGAAAAGTTGTTGTTATGGTTGTTTTTGTAGCAGTGATTTTTGTGTGCGTTTATAGTTGTGATCTAGCACACAAACAATTGTGACGAAACAGGACACAGCATTAGCTTGCACCATTAGTTTTATTTTTAAAACTGTACATGCATGAATGTAGAAAATGGAGCAGTTCATCTCTACTCTGCAGCAGTTACAATAAAGATGCTGGTGTACATAGAAAAGTAGGATGTTTGAAAAAAAAAAAAAGGCAGATCCCACGTACAGAGCGAATCGATATGCGAAGCATGAATAATAAATGTTGATATGTCACTTCAATATCAGCACAACATTGCAAGTTGGAGGTAAATGATGCCGTACATGACTTCCGTGTCATGATTATCATCTTTGGATGTGTCCTTTACCTTCCTCATCTATTCATGTCACGTGATACCGAATTTAGTATATGAGGAGCTAGCTGAAACGGCCGCGAGCACGCTATGAGCGTGGTATGTTGTCATGTGCTTACATGACGCATGCGTCAGGATTATCATGTTTGCAGCAGTCATTTATTTCGTCATTCATTGATGTCACGTAACACCAAATTTGGTATATGTGGAGCTAGCAAAACGGCCACGAGGACATCATGAAGGGCCCAATATACTTTTTATAGGCTATATTGGGCACAGCCACGCTACACTAACAAAATGCGAGCACTCCATAGTCTGATGCCAGGCGCAATCAGCGTTCGTCGGCAAGGTGCGATGGCAACCGGCGCGAAATGCGACATGCTGCATTTTGCGCTGATGCGTTACCCAGACAACATTGCGTCTCCCTCTTTTCGTGACAGAGGGACGCCAAACGCACTGAAATGCACATGCGACAAAGCAACGCAGCGTGGCGCACGCCTGTAAGTATATAGCAGGACCTGCGCCTGGCGTGGCAACATTGGCGTGACGCGATGAAATGAACGCCTGAGTGAGCACGCGCACCGCGTCATGTGGAAATGTATTGGCACCTTCACTGTGACATGTAGTCATGTTCTCACATGACAGGCATCTCATGATTATTATGTTTGCACCAGTCACACACCTTCGTCATCCATTGGCGTCATGTAATACCAAATTTGGCATGTGTGAAGCTAGCAAAACGGCCGCAAGTCCATCATTAGTGTGGCATGTAGTCATGTTGTTACATGACACGCATGCCATGATTATCATGTTTGCACCAGTATCATACCTTTTGAATGTCACAGAGGAAAGCACCAGCGCTCATGCAATTGTTTTATTGAACGGCACGTACTGAAATGACGGTAAATATATGCACAAATGTTGAACGCACAGACATATATTGAAGAGTTGCAGATGCTTGTATAACAACTTGTTTGCACTCACATAATGATGCCAAATGGTACATGCATATTAGCAAAACCAGAAGCTGATATGAAGCGCTGATGCTCGCGAGGATGCTGGTCCTGGACACAGCTACATGAATCAACTTTAGTGCATGTCAACTAAGTACAATTGACGTTAGCCCGACATGTCGGCTGTATTGAAGGAGTACATATTGTGACGACGCGGGATCGACGAGCACACAAAGCATCTCGAACAAATACGCTTTATCAATTACAGGACAAAGACTGCAACGTCTTCTTCGTCTCTGCCCTCGGCCAAGGACACTCTCGCTGCTTCCTTGTCGCTGACACTAGCAAATACGTGCGTCATGATTCCCCCGAATGTTTAACATCGCACGATGTTAAACATTCGAGAAGCACGGCGAAAACACAACTGCAAAGTTAGTCACTGAAAGTAAGGTTTCATCCGAAGCACGTGAACAATCTCTGGTGAATGTCTGCAGCGCTTCAAACACTGAACGCCGTCTGAAACAACCTCGTAGTTGACGACACTGATGTGTCACAGAACCTTGTAGGGTCCAAAGTACCTTCGCAACAACTTTTTGGAGAACCCACGCTGACAAATAGGTGTCCAGACCCACACTTTGTCGCCCACATTGTATATGACGGTTCTGTGCCAGAGGTTGTAATATTTGGTGTCATCGTCTTGTTGTTTGGTGATTCGCAACCTAGCAAGTTGTTTGGCTTCCTCTGCTCGCTCGGTAAACTCTTCGGCGTCCATCCCATTACCATCATTTTCATGAGGGAGCATCGCGTCTAACGTCGCAACTTCGCGTCCGTAAAGAAGACTGAAGGGTGTCTTCCGAGTGGTCTCCTCACGAGCCGTGCTGTACGCGAACATGACGTAGGGCGATATGTCTTCCCAGTTCTTGTGCTCTACATCTACGTGCATGCTTATTATGTCATCCAGGGTCTTGTTGAGACGTTCGGTGAACCCGTTGGTGTAAGAATGATATGCCGTTGTCTTCCTGTGGCTGTACCACTTAGTCGGAAAACGGTGTCTAAAAGCTCGGCCATGAACGCAGTACCTCTGTCGGTGATGACTATTGCGGGAGCGCCATGTCTTAAAACGATGGCTTCAATGAAAAATTGCGCCACTTCAGCTGCCGTTGCGCGTGGCAGAGCGCCTGTCTTCACTTATCGAGTCAGGTAATCTGTGGCGACAATTATCCACCTGTTTCCAGTGGCAGACTTTGGGAATGGGCCCAGAAAATCCATGCCAGTTTGTGCAAACGGTGTTGCCGGCGCTTGGACAGCCTGCAGCAGGCAGGCTGGTTTGATGGATGGTGGTTTGCGACGCTGGCAATCTAGACATGCCTGCACGTAAGTTTTGACAACTCCGAAAGTCTTGGCCAGTTATAGTTTTGCCTTATCCTCGCCAATGTTCTTGCGTAACCCAAGTGACCAGCGGTAGGTTCATCGTGGCATGCTTGCAGTACCTCACGGTGAAGTGAAGAAGGAATGACGAGCAAGTAGCTGCTGCCGGCGGGTAAAAAGTTCTTATAAAGAAGGTCATTCTGCAAGCAGTACGACG